TGTATTTTACGCGAGGAAATCCATGTAACCCCTTTAAAATTTATTACCAAAAATCGTATTAGTTCAATATTTGTATATTTAAAAAGGTCGWGTTAAAAATTAAAGTCGATCGGTGCAGTCGATTTCTTTCTGGCTCCGAAAACAGCATTTCGAGAAGTATWCCTTTAAAGTTGTGGTAGTTGGTTACACTAAGTTAAATTCACAAATACGCCAATTTCTCTAAAGCTGCTTTTAGCCAGTTCAACTTAAAATTTTCGGAGAATATTTTCAAATATATTTGCATTTGATATATAAACAAAAAAAAAGAATTCGATATTTAGAAAGAGTTCCACAGATCGCTGATTGAGTAATATAAGCATAATCCACGATTGTAGAATGATGGCATACAAAATTAAAATTTGTTTTTGATAATATTCAATATCAATCCATATGGTGTGTTTGAAGCAAAGAACCATTTCGTAATTTATTATTTTCAGCTGTTGCAGAGACTTATCTGTACATAGGTTGAAGCAATAACGATGACATAAAAACCGCTTACTTTTGTTAGTAAGGTTGAAGAAAAAAATCCAATTTAAGTAATAATAAACCGATTTGTTTTGGAGCATGCCAAGAATACGYTGTTTACACGCCATTTTAACGAACTGTGCTTTGTCACTGTCATTGTCATTGTCAAGGCTTTTATAAGAATACACTTCTTGTTCTACAATTTACATATACATATACATATAACATAAACACACATATGTATAAGGAGAATATGACCTTGCATTTATTAATTGATTGCCTCCCATCTTTCGTCCAACTATAATACGATTAGAGTTGTTTAGAAGGGATTCGATGGCGGTGATGCTGTCATTCGCTCCATGCGAGACGTCAGTTGTGAGTGCTTGCTCACCTTCCCGCTGCGACGCTGAATAAATATATTTGCATTGACTATTTTGATTGCCAATTGCAAGTGCTCCACCTTCAACTACTTTCACATTTACACAGATTTACTTTTGTGCGTATTTGCAATGAAATTTATCACACTTGCTTAACACCTCGTATTCCAATAACAATTTTTATTCAATTATAATTCATATACACTTTGATTACTYATGGAAAACCACAAATGCGTGATTTATTGAACTTGTCCAAGTTCTCCTCGACGCACGGCTGGGTCATCAGCAGGCGAATTTTAGCTAAAATGTGGGTGAGTATTTTTTAATATAGAACATTTTTAATATGTTTCCATTTAGGATTTTCAGATTCTGTTGAAGTTTTTGGCTGTTCTGAAATGTTATTACTAAATAGTATAATAAATATATAGGGTAAGTGATCTTTGATGTAAGCTAAACATAACTGATATACGGTATATTGGATAGCAGGTGTTTCGGAGGTGCAGTTTACTACAATTTTCGCCGCAACCGAACACAAGAACAACGCAGCAAAATAGTGAGAATTTACTTTGAAAACATTTTTTTTATGACCGAAGTTTATTTTACACTGTTTAGTGAAATTAATTAGTAAAATAGTCGCCAAATTTGCTGTAGGAAGATTTGAAAACTTTAGCCAATTTTTTTTTTTCAAAGTCATTGAAACTACCGATAGTGAAATAAAACATGACACAGCTTCTAAAAAAAATATTTTTTTTTTTGAAAATATATTTTATTTTTGTAAAAAGTTAGAAAAAAAATTGTTTGTAGAAATAATTTTGCATTTACACATGAAAATTAATTGTCTACAATTATTTAAAGCACCCGAACCACAGTACGGAAAGACGTGAAATTTGCACGAGTATTTCACAATTTATGTGTATATTTATAGCTCAAAAACGGCTGACTGATAAGAATCATTTGAATATTTTTTTTTTATGTCTTGAACAACGGCAGCGTTCTCAGCATAACTGTGAAGAGAGAGATTAAAGAATACTACAAAAAATAATRTCTAAATATACAAACAAACAAACACAGAACTCACCTTTTGCGGCGCATC